TCTGTAAATGCTGACTTTAATATGTTGCTTGTAGATAAACAGCATGTTTGTACAAGAATCCTTGGAGCTAATTTCAGAGGATGCTTTACTCTGAGCTTCAGTCATCCCATTTCTGGGAGACGAGCTGAACTTCAACCACAGAACTAGGATGATGAAGACCTTAGTGACTCACATCTGATCATTGTTTGAACCGTTTCAATATCCTTATCAGAATGAACTGTGCTGAACTGTATGTAGGGAGCTTTTCAATCCCCTCCCCTTGGTTTCTTTGTTCTTCTTTCCCTCTCCCTCCTTATAAAAACCTCTGCCTGTACTGAGGTATTGAGATGGACTTTGTGACAAGAGTCCTCCTTCTTCTCAGGTGTCTCACACCTTCAATAAGTCACTTTTTTCCCTCTCCAGCATCTGTCTTATGAGTTTGGCTTTAGTGGAGGCAGGCAGCTGAACCTTGGCTTCAGTTACAATTCCACAAAACACCAGAAGAGATTGATAAACTACCTGCCATTTCTAGTGCCGTTTTCAATCTGAAGGAATTTTCAAGAAGACATTGTTTTTACATTGGCTTTTTTTTTTTTTTTTTGGTAAATATTTTAATATATTGATAACATGGTTGTATATGAAATGATCATGTTGGGATTCACATCCCTTGATTTGAAGGTGGGATCACATTTTATCATATAAAGAAATAGATTTAAACATAGGCAAAAATAATAATTGGTTAACTTACAATTGTATTTGGTCTTCTGTTAAAAAGTATGCACTAATGGTTAAATGTTACAACATCTCTATTTTTAAGTACTTTATACATGGCTACAACCCAGAGATTTTTTTTCTCGTGGTGCTCTTTACTTATTTATTTTGGGAAAGTTTGGACCAAATCTGTTCCATTTTTGACCTTTGGGTTCTTTTCTTTTATTTTTAGAGAAAGAACTATGTATACCTTTGCCAGTATTAAACATACAAATGTACTCACATGTAGGATAAACAATTCTCAGACTTGCTTTTCTGACAAATAAATCAGTGCGAGTAGACCTTTAAAATGTCAAACTTCTCATTCAGCATGAGACTTGTCGCTACATATGTGTTTCTCTGATGGCACCCCAGATCTTACTGGTTGGCATGCTTCCCATGTGCCAGGATATTAAAATGTGCAAGACACCTATTCAGCCTATCCTGTCCCTGCAGTTATTACCAACACCCCCTACCCCCAGTCCAGGCTTCTTGTGAGATTTACTTCAGTCTCAGGCTTTTGGCTTCCCAGGGAGGTTGAAGAGCTTTGATTTAGTTTGCTTTCTCTCCACTCTTTGAATACCAAGATATAATAGCCCCCAACCCCTTATCCTCAGGAAATATTTTCTAAGACCCCTCACGGATACCTGCAACTGCAGATAGTACTGAATTTTATATATACTATGTGTTTCCTTATACATACACACCTTTTCACTTAAATGGAATACTTTTTGTCTTCTCTCTGGAGTTTCCAAATTGCCAGCATCACTACTCTTACACTTTGAGAACCATGATTAAGTAGAACAAAGGTTATTTGACCACAAGCACTACGATAGCATGACCATCATCTGATAAGCAAGGTGGCTACCAAGTGACCTATGGTTGGGGAGTTTCTACAGTGTGGAGATGCTGCGAAAGGGTGATTCACGTTTTGGGTGGGATGGGGCAGGATGGCATGAGATTTCATCACGAAACTCAGAACAGAATGCAATTTAAAACTTATGAATTGTTTATTTCTGGAACTTTCCATTTAATATGTTCAGACCACAGTTGACTGAAACCACAGAAAGTGAAACTGTGGATAAGGGGGAATTACTATACCATTAAACCCTTTCCTCAGACCTTTTGGACGAGTACACAGCTACTTGATGCCACGTCTCAATCACCACCCGCAGGCATGCACAAAGGGTTAACCTAGAATAGCTTACTAACTCTAGGAAGATTTCTTCTTACTATTATAATTTAAAAATATATTATTATAGGCCTAATAGCATGAGGAACTGATGTTGGCGTCTGACAGTCTTGGGTCCAAATGGTACCGCCTACATGCTCTGTGAATATGTAAATTATTGTACCTCTGAGAACCATAATGTCCTCGTCTGTAAAGTGGAAAGTGACTCTATTAAGAATACAGGCTTGTGGCCCTGGCCAGTTTGGTTCAGTGGTTAGAGTGTCGGCCTGCGGTACAGAGAGACCCGGGTTCGGTTGCCGCTAAGGGTGCGTGCCTCGGTTGCGGTTTGTCCCTGGCCCTAGTTGGTCGTGCGGGTGGCAGCCACTTGATGTGTCCCTTTCACGTCGATGTTTCTCTCTCTCTCTCCCTCCCTTCCTCTCTCTTCCTCCCACTCTATCTGAACAAAAAATGGAAAAATGTCCTTGGGTGAGGATAAAAAAAAAAAAGAATATAGGCTTGTGTAAGTCAAGAGCAAATGTGTTTTTGAAGAAAGGAACAAGTATATGTATCTAATTATGTGGCAATAAGTAGAATTTTCTTTCCCTACCTACCCTGCTTAAATAAAAAGATATGGAATATGCCAGAAATATTGCAAAACAAGGGAGCAACAAAGGAGATTCCCTGGTATGTACTGCCCTCCACAAACCGGAGCACTGTTGCATACACAGCTATTCCTGCCCAGGAAGTCGGTAAGTGGGCCAAGTGCCCATCTAGGACTATGCTACTGATTTCTACCTGTTGAGGCGTTCCATTTCTAAGGCTCCGTGCAATAAACGAATTTCTGAATTTAAGCATGCCAGTGTCAGGAAATGATCAATTTGAGTTTATTCTTGAGCCTCTATGTCTTGCACAGCTCTGACCACCCCATGTGAATTACTCATTGACATTTACTACAGGGAATATCATGTTTATTAACAATAAAAACTTGACTAGAGAAGCAGACTCAATGTCTCACACAAATGGACTTGTAACTGGAGAAAAAAGTCTTCTACCACCTCCTCTTAAATCTTGTCTGAGAAAGGACTATCCAGTTAGGAAATTAACCAGACCTGGTGATTTGCCAGGTAATGTTATAGCTTATTAATTTTTACTATTTTTATAGGAACAAGACAAGCAAAGACAAAGACATAAAATTCAAATCTGTCTACCAAGTGGGTTTTGATGTGAGAGATGAAAAAGTCCAGCTTTTCAGTGGGCTCAGAGAGTGTCTGTGGACAGGCTCCCAAATCCATACTGCCAGGCTGATCTCTGCTCTGAACTGCATCTGATGCTTCCATTATTGCAGGGGCCCCCACACTAGTACTCGTATCAGTAAGTCCAGCATCTAACTCACCACTTACCTCCCATCCTGCTCTCTTTGCCCAATCATTATTCTTTGTTATTCTCTGCCTAAGTGGATACCTTGACTCACCTTGAACTCTCTTTCACTTTCATTCTACCATCATTCTTCTGACCACTTTCCTTCTCATCAACACTGTGGCCTTCCCTTCCCTTCCTTCTACTAATCACTCAGAGGTTCTCATCACCCATTGCATTTAGACAACAACTTCCTTGCTTTCTCTTCCTTCTAACAACTGTCCCCCTCTCCCTGCACACACATCCTAACCTCTCAACTTTTTGAATCCCTGTGGATATGTCATGCCTCTGCTGTAGAACTGCCTCCCTTAGCCTTAATAAATATTCTTGTTATGAAGATCCTTTGTCTCAGGAGATCCATCCCTGTTTCATACTACTCCCTAACCCACTCTTTTATTCCAGTCCCTTGCACAACCATTTCATCCCCGCCTTTGTGTTTTTAACACCAACCCTCAACTTCTTCACACACAATGCCCCAATCCAAGGCCGCTGTTGAAATTCCTGCCCAAGTCTACATCTGCCACCAAATTGCCTTAAATTGCTGTTGGAAACTACTTACTGCTCTTGTCCCTAAACGACTACCTCCCACTCCCACCCCACCCCCACCCCCAGGCCCAGCTGTTTAACCATTTAATTGTTCTGTTCTAGGTTAGTCCCCTTTCTCTGGAAGACCATAGGTTATGTAAGGGCACCTTTGCCATGTTTCTCATCTCCCGTCTCCACCTACTCATTCTTTCATTATGCCCCAACCAGATGACACAAAGAGATCAATAATAGAACTCCTGTAGATTCCAGCCTACACCTTCTACCCTTGCTGAGCGTGAACTAATTCCAACATTCCTAACTTTGCCAGTCAGAATTACAATTACGCAGGGTCATGAAGATTTAGTACCAGGACATTTAACATGCCCGACGTGCCTTTGAGAAAAGTCCTAAATAAAATCTCGAGACTTTCTTTGTTTCTTAGTTTACTCTGCAGTGAGCAGGGTTGGAGTTGGGAGAGGAAAGGATTGTTGGATTTAGATTTTCCCAGTCACAGACCAAAAAAAAATGTATCCACCCTGAGGGTCTTCAGACTGCAGAGGTGATGCAAAGGGAACACTTTACTGGTCTTGTGGTGCGGTACATTTTCACCTTCTTCATTTGCGATAAACAGGAGCAAACTCGCCCCGCGCGGGGAGCAACCCTTCCAAAAGCAATGGCTTAAACTGACATGTACAAGACTCAGATCGTCCTTGAGATGCAACTGTAATAGAAAACCAGGAGCCCAAACAGGCGCCTGGCGCCGGCTGCCAGCAGGGGCTGGGGCGGCCCCGGAGTCTCGGGCTCCCGCCCACAGCTCGGACCCGCCGCTAGGAGGCGCCGCAAGAGCGCCCGGCCCCCGCCCGCGGCCGGAGGAGGGCTGGATGCCGAGGGCCAGCCCCTGAGCCGGGGGAGCTGGCTGAGAGCAGGCGAGGAGCAGATCGCAGGGGACGCGCGGCGGAGCGCCCGGGGCTGTCACCGCCGACGCGCCTCGCGCGCGCACTGAACCAGGACGCGGTCATCTGGGGACCGCCAGCCGCCACCCCCGCGGTTCTCCACCTGGGGTCCTGCTTCCCGTGAGCAGCGGCCAGGGCGGACGGCGATGTCTGCCAGGGCCCGCGGCGGTCCCCGGGCGCAGCCGCTCGCGCCCCTTTGCTGCTGCTTGGCTGCTCTGGGGATGCTGTGGTCCCCCGCGTCACAGGCGTTCAACCTGGACGTGGACAAGCTCACGGTGTACAGCGGCCCCGAGGGCAGCTACTTCGGCTACGCGGTGGACTTCTACGTACCTGGGGCTCGCACGTAAGTTGCCTGGCGCCGGGAGCTCGCGCGCGTGCAAACCCCGCCACAGCTCGTGTCCCTGCCGCTCTGCCCCGGTCCCGCGCCTACCCCGCAGCCTGGAGAAAGACTTTCCTAAGATTCCCTCCACTTGAGGTCCCCTCCCGCTCCCCTCCACCAGCCTCTTCTCTCCCCTCGCGGGCTAAAAGTGCCCTGCGCACTTGGAACTAGAGACCTGCCACTTGCATAGAATACGCAGGTCCCGCGGAGTTTTGGTACAAAGTCTAGCATCGTGCAAAGGAAGAAGTGGGACCCAGCCCATTTAGGCCAGTTAAAACAACGACCACAGCACAGTCTGTTTATACATAGCCTGTAACAACTAAGTGTCTGGGCGCAAGTGCTGTCTGCTTGCTACAACAGCTGGGCTCCGTCCTTTGCTTTTTTAACGGTCCTTAGTCCCCCATCTCACTGCACACAGCTCCACCTAGAGAAGAATTAGGACTATTTGCACCCTCTTCCAAACCAGGTTTCAAAGGACCTCAGGTTTCCAAAAGGAACTCAAGTTTGACAGTCGGCTCGCTCAGAAATACGTTTCTGCCTTCGATCCCCACCCTAGTCTCAGTGGGCATGCGGCTGGGGACTGCTGCGCGTTGTGAGGATTCCCACCCAGTAGTTCTCTCCAACCCTTTCGCAGAGCCAGTGTCTTGGTGGGAGCGCCCAAAGCCAACACCAGCCAGCCAGACATCGTGGAAGGGGGAGCCGTCTATTACTGCCCTTGGCCCATCGAGGGGTCTGCGCAGTGCAAGCAGATACCTTTTGACAACACCAGTAAGTGATATTTGTCATTCTCAACTGTGGGCCCTGGTTTCAGAGAGCCAGACTCCCCATCCTACCACCAACTCCCCATTTTCTCTGTACTCATTTGGCCTGTCTGATGGGTCTGTGTTGTGGGCTGTTCGGGTCCCTAGGGAATCAGCTTTTTAAAGGCTGAGTGGAAAATGCCCAGTGAACCACAGAGAGGGAACAATATTTTGACCTGGAGTATTTGCAGACATCCTAGTAACTTCTGTTTACTCACTGTCCTGAGATGAGCATTTTCAGGGTGAGTGTATTCTTTGGAGAGGTACAAATGTTACACCCCAACCTTGGTTATGGAGAGAATTTGTTTCCCAAACACAGATCTGGGAAAAGACAGATCCTTAGCATTTCCAGTGCTCAAACTCCAGAGGTAAGACCCAGACATTGCTCCACGTTGCTGATTAATTCTTTACAGAAAGAATTTTCTTTCAAAATATTGGACATTGGAGGCAAACTAGTACAGGCAGAGTGTGGATGGATTACATTCATTTCCAAAATCCCTAGACAGATGTTTCTTATTTAATTAAAGGGAAAATACATTTTAAACAATTCAGGCTGGTTATGTTTCCTCTGGTGTTTTCTCCTTGGGTCCTGAGAAAACAATTTAAACGTAATGCTTTAAAAAATATTAACACTGAATGTTTTAATTTATACCTCCAAAACTTTATGAATTCAAAAGGTATATATTATAGGAAAGCAAGTATCTCTAAGAAAAATGAGAATATGTCAACTCAAATAATGTTCTTCAGTGAACAGTCATTTAAAATACCTTTTGCATCACAACTATTTTATAACTTCATTCTTCATTATTGTTACATTAGTGTACATTTAGAACTTAGGTAGAAAATCCATTTTCACAGAAATTGAATGGTGGTATTTACATTAATTGATTTGTAATTTTTTTTTTTAATCCTCATCCGAGGACATTTTTCCATTTTTTGTACAGACAGAGTGGGAGGGAGAGAGAGGAAAAGAGAGAGAGGGAAACATGGATGTGAAAGGGACACATCGAGTGGCTGCCACCCACACGACCAACCAGGGCCGGGGACAAACTGCAACCGAGGTACATGCCCTTAGTGGGAACTGAACCCGGGCCTCTCCGGACCGCAGGCGGACGCTCTAACCGCTGAGCCAAACCGGCCAGGGCAATTGATTTGTAATTTTTATTTTAAAGGAGAAAATAGTTGCAATTCTATGAATATAGAAATCATGTCAAAGGAAAGAAATACTATACAAACATTACCTTGAGTTATGACTATATTAGGAAGATATTTTATATTTATAATGAAACAGTAGGGGATAAACTAGTACATTTGTAGCCATTAAATAAACAGGAAAATAATAATTGTCAAGAAAAGATCAGTGTTACTTGGAGAAAGAGCCAGGGGGTAGACAGCATCTTCTGTCCAGGTTCTGAAAAAGACCTCTCGATTTCTCAAAAGACTTCAGAGATGTCTTATTTTACTTCTAAATGTACGGGGGTTTTCTTGATAGATGCTCTCATTATGTTATTATTCTTAGCAATAATAATAACCGCAGTAATTTGAGGATTCATAAATGGAAGACAAGGGAAAGAAAGAGGAAGGGAAGTAACTGAAATAACTGAGCAAAAAATGAAATAGAAAAATAGCAAGGCAGAGGAGGCCACAGAACATTTGTGAGAAATGAATGCTCCATGATGGAATGAACAAAGCCTGGGGGAGTTGCACTAAGAATCATTGAGAAAAGAAAGTTCCTCGTGTTAGTCGTCAGGGGGTACTGTGGGCCCTGGAACCTTGGTTTCTGTTGGGAATGGCCTGAGAACAGAACAGGTGAGGGAAAAGGAGTCAGAGGCTCAGGTGTGCTACTGGGTGGCTGCCAGCACTCTACACATCTTTTCTACCCCTTGATCATGTGTCCCCTAAGACATGGAGGTGCCAGTGGCTGCCGTTTGCTACGAAGATGTGAAAAAGGGGAAGGGACAGCAGGAGCCAGTAGAATTATTTCCAGTTTCAGCATCTGTTCTGTGTGTGGAGTATGATCTTGGAACCAAAGATGAAAGGCAGAAACAAAGGCACTGCTGACCCTGGGTCTTGCAGTCAACATTACCAGATGCTCTCTGTTTATTGATCACCTACTAGTGCCAGTCACTTATACATGTTATTTCTAGTCCATAAAACAAAACAACCCTGTGAAATTCATTTTATGCACAAGGAAACTGACATCAAAGGTGCTAAAGAATATATATGTTCAAGACCAAACAATGGTAAGAAGTAGATGTAGGGTTTGGAAAGAGGTCTGTCTGCTCCAAAACCTGCCTGTTCACCCTGCCTTCCTTCCCCATGGAACTGGACCTGAGGCACTGTTCACCTTCCCTTCCCCGCCTCCATTCCCTCACCCCAATGTTAGCTTCACAGATATCGAGTTAAATGATCCCATAGAGAAGATCTGAAAGGGAGATGCACTTTGGTGGAGGTTGTGGGAACCAGATTGTAGAAGCAGCCTTTGTGGTGGTGGGAGTAACAGGTTCGATGCCCCTCGTTTGCCCTAGCTCCCGCTGGCCAGCATATCCCAGCCCCAGCGTGTCTCCCTCAGCTGCCTCTGTTCTGCTCTTTACCATTCAGCAGCAACATAGTTTCCCCACGACAAGGAAGAAAAGTTCTGTGCTGACAAAGGAGGAGTTCTGAGTGCTGAATACCCACAAACTGGCATTCATGTAAGAGTGTGATGTTTCAGGCTTATATTCTATATGTATAGCTATATACAAATATAAAGAGATAGATAAGAAATATTGCAAATATTCCTCTGCAGTCATGACTGTCTCTGTCTTTACCCTGTCTGCTTTTACTATTAAATCTGAATTCAAGACATTCTAAGTACATCTGACCTTTTAATGACATTGTTTCAACTTGCTCAGTCCCCTGGGGTGTCAACAATTTAGTGTTTACTGTGGTAACCTACTAAACTCTCTAAGCCTAGACACTGAAGGAGGCTTGCCTGTAATTTAGTCCCTGAATCTGGTTGTGATCGTGAACCTCAGTTTATTCAAGGTCAACTGCCTTTTTTTAAAAAAACTACCTTTTAGTTTAAATTTTTTTCATTAAACAATCATTTTTTACATTACCGTATAACTTGGACTTTTTAATTACTGTTCATCATGAATGCAACAACAGAGGAAGCTGGGAATAGCCTAGCACTTCAAATGCATGAATACTATTAAAATCTGTGGTCCTTTCAAGTGTAGTAAAAGGAAACTTTAGGGAAGCATATGGCGGTGGGGGAGGTGCAAAGTGCAAAGAGTAGACAATTTTCCTGCTCTGTACAAAATCAAGTGGTTCCAAAAAAGCACTTCTCTCATCTCCCTTCTGTCTTTCCCTCTTACTTCACTGGAATAAAATTCCCCATCACCAAATTGATTTCTCTCACTTTTGCCTCAGGAACTCTCTAAACTGTGCCCCATCCTAACTTAAATCATCACATCTGCCAAAGTCATGCCTCTCATTTTTAAATCTACTCCAAAGTTCATTTCTTTATTTTCTTACACTTTCCCAAACCCACGTGTGGATTAAATAAAAACTGCTGGATGACAGCCGTCATGCTAACAGGGATGAATGAAACAGCATGACATAGACACCTATCTGTGGAATGAGCAGAGGGCAAATCGCAACAGGAGTAACAACAAATATCCGGTTGTTTTAAATGCTCAAATGAAATGTTTTGAAGAGAAAGATAAGGCATGTGCTCATTAATGATGATAATCATAGCACTAATAATGGAGAGGCCGCACAGCTGGGTACCACCCACTAGTAGGGATCCACATAAGAGTGAACAGGAAGAGGTGGGGGTGCCATTGAGATTTGGAGGCCGGTTCAGCAAGACTACCAGAATTTGGCTGTAGCATCTTTGTGTGAAACAAACAATCCCCGCCCCATCCCAAATTTAAAAAACCACACCACCTTAAAATAGAAGATAATTTGGTTAAGAAATTCAGAGCTCTGGAATGGGAGGATTTTTGTTGGAATTGGGTTTTGGGTTGGAGCCCGGAAGCCTTTGTTTTGGGGGGATCTGTTTTGTTTTGTGTTGAGTGAGCCCACAATAAGCAGCAGCTCAAAGCATCTGGTGCTGTGACTGGTATAGGATTGCTTTTTGATAGTCTTGGGTGCCCTTTTTCTCAAAGGAGGGTTGGGAAACATATCGGGCGCATACGTCTTGTTTGTCCAACTTCCTCAGAAAGAAATCAGTTTTTGTTCAGGAACATAGAAAAGAAAAATGTAGGTCAGAGCTACCCAAATAAATGACAGGGGAAATAACAAAAATGTGAGAGGACTCAGTGAGAACAGGTATCTGAGCTCTGGAAAGTTCATTTGAAAATGGGGGTGGGGGGGCAGGGAGGAAGAAGGCAGCCTAAAGGTAACCTGCTGCTTTTAAGAATGAATAAACCATATATGAGGCAGGAAGCTTACTCTGCTAAGTCACCAGGAGTGGTTTAGCGGGTTGGTTTACTTATTCTAGAAGCAGCTCATGGTGGCAACCACGCCTGGGCAGCTGGCCTGACAGATCAGCCATCATCCCCAAATTTCTCCCAGTTGGCTCAGACTCCACGTGACAGAACGGAATCAAGTCCTGATATGAGAAGGGAGCAGTGGTCCCTACGTCACATAGCAACTGAGGAAGCAATTAGAAAGAGGAAGTCCTTGAAACTCAACTAGAAATGGGAAACAGATCTCTCTACGGCTAGTTGAGTTGTAGGAGCATTAGGCGCCTGTTGCTTAATCTGCAAAATCCTTTCAAGAAGTTGGAAGTCTGTGTGATGGAACGGGCTTCCAGGCTTTTGGCAGTAAGGGTCGGTGCAACTCTGGGAGAAATGTAGGAAACTCTTGAAACTATTCTGAAAACAGGAAAATGCGCTTTGACATTTAAGCTGGCCAGTTGAGATGTGCGCATTCAAACGACCTGTGGTGTCTAAAGAGTCCTGTATCTGACTGTGCTGA